TCCTTTACATTGGGAAGTAGTAACAAATCTCACAGGCCTCACCCACGCGCGCTTCATCAACAACCTCATCCGCCGCTGGGGGTGCGTGCCGGCCCACATCGTCCTCGACGGCGCCGGCGCGTGGTCGTGCGTGGAGGACATGATGCGCTTCTACTACGGCCCGCGGTTCGACGACGTCGACATCGTTCCGCTCGCCGAGGGCAACATCGCGATCCGGCGTTTTCAGCGCACGAGCAGCGTGCATAGCACGCCGATAGAGAGGAGCTGGGCCGACGTCAACGACGTGACGCACAAGTACCGCGTCGAGTTCAAGAGCCTCGAGGCGCGCGGCCTCTTCCGCGGCGGGCGGCACCTCGACCCCGTCGACGCGTTCTGCCTCGCGGCGGTGTATATTGACTTCATCAGGCGCGACGTGCACGAGCACTTCATGTCCATGGGCTACAGGCGCAAGCACAAGGACACGGCGAACCCGAACGTGCCCGCGGGCGCGCGGCGCCCCGTCGACGGTCTTGTCAACAGCGCCCAGCACGGCCTACCCGTGGACGCGGCCTCGATCGCGGCCGTCGACGCGGGCATCCTGCGCTACCACGGCGTCGCGCCGGGCTCCGACGGGCCGGCCGCGCCGTGGGAGACCGATCCCTTGGTCACCGACGCGGACCGCGCGCTGCGCTCGCGCATGGTCGCGGCGCGCGCCCCGCAGACTCTATCCGAGGAGTACATCGCCATGCGCGACGCTACCCGGCGCATCGCGGGGCTCTAACCTACGCCGCCTAAGATCACTACCTCCGCTCTCCCGGCAAGTGGTCGCGCCCGCCGCGGCGCGCGAGGCCTCGCGCGCGCATCGACGAGGCGACGCGCCCCGGCTCGGCCGGCCGTGTCCGCCTCTGGCAAGCTTTCTTCTGCTGCGTCACCGCCTTGGGCGCGCTGCTGCGCGCCGTCGCGAGCGCGCAGCAAAGGCGGCCAGCAGGCCAGCAGCAGGTCGCCCGGCGAGCGGCGCGCGTCGCCGCCGCGCCGAAGCTGCGGCGCCGCGCGACCTCGGC